TACTGGCGATGACCGCCGATGCAGCCACCACGTGATGCAAGTTGACCTGGGCTACTGTCAAGTGTCGCGGGATCATAGCTGGGGCTCGTCCAGGTTGGAGAGCCGTAATTCGCTCTCGCTATGCCGGTCGAGCTCAAGGGCACTAGCCCGGAAATACTTGCGGGAGCTGGCATTTGTCAGCGCTCCTTGGCAGGAACACCGTGATATGATATTTCCAGCGGAGATTCCACCGGAGAGATATCATCGCCTCTCTTCGGTCCCTTCTAGCCCTCGTGTGCCGGTGCTTTCGAAGCCAGCCAGGTCGCTGTCCTCTTGTCCCTGCAATCTACCAGAAGCATGCACGAAAAATCGGACTACGATGGATTTTGTGTGTTAGTCACCATTATCGCCTATTCGAAATTGGGCTTACATAAGGCCTTATAATAAGACATAATATAGACTACCCTTAACTTATTATAAGCTTTTTCGTCCATTGCAGCAGCAGCACTGCCAGCAGATCTTGGTCGCTCAAATAGTCTACTCGCTGTGTCAGTCCAATTTCTGCCTTGTCTGGTGTCACTTTAAAGTCTGGGCTCGAATTGTAACATCCGTTCACGGATCGAAAACGATACGAAAGAAAATTACGTGATACGTCAGGCAGTATAAACTGAATGGGACAAAGAGTACGTTCACGTATGTCATAATCCGCAAAATGTGATTTTACGCGACGAGTAGTACGATATCATATGTGACGATTCGAGCCCTGTTCTGAGCTGCGCAAGTCCCTGTTGTAGAGCTCTGAAACCGCATTCGTCAATGGTGATGCCGCCGGTTACAACAGGTCGAGGTTTGAGAAATAAATCCTTCAATAATTAATTCTCAGGGAGTAGCATTTCCCCAAAAATTTGGGTGAAAGAACTTCGAAAGAGCTGTTTGACACTTTTTTGACAGCTCAACTCCGCCTTTTTAAACAAAAGTCCTCAGGGAATTTTTATTCATGATAGGAGGAAAGGGAAAAGAGAAAAAACTCCCAGAGAGTTTCTGTTCAGAATCGGCCTGATTGACTCGTTTTTTTTATGTGAAATCGTAATTTTTTCAAACATCGAATAAACCGGATTTTTTATCGAACAAACCGTTTTTTTTTATTTCATACAAATCTTGACCTCTCATTAAAAGATTTTTGTTTTCGAAGTTTTAAAAGCATTTCCAGTTTAAGGGAAACCCCTAAATAA